ACTATGTAGCGACGACTGTGAAGATCCGACCCCTCTTCAAATTGGCGCTTAAAGACATTGTGCTGCTCTTCAAAAGTACTGTGCTTGCTCCTGCCTCAGCATCTTTGCTTTTGCCACTGCTTCTGTCTAGCTTCCTCTTTCCCCACATCTGCATGTCTGGCTTTTTGACTTTATCGAGTTCTGTGGTAAAATAGCACTTTCTCAAAAAGGACTTCCCTGACTGACTTATATAAATGTAGCTCTGCTCCCAGCCTCTACCTACTGTTACCCACTCATTCTCCATCCTTTCACTGCACTCTAATTTTTTCCATCGTTGAATCATCACTTGGTAGATTGAATATTTATGTATGTGTTCCTTCACTAGGATGTAAGAGGGGAAAGGTTAAAGGTGCATCTTCACCTATGTGTAAGTTGTGCCTGAAGTAGTACTTTGCACAAATATTTTTAAATGATCAAAGAATGAAATAAGTGAGCTGCATGGTATTCTTGTTTATTTAATTTTTATGTTTTCAAAAATATTTTTACTATTTTTAAAGAAGAGAAAATATTTTTTCTTGAAACTAATGCAAAGGATAGCAGTGGTGACTTTTATTCTGCATTGTTACCATTCTTTCATATCTAAAACTTGTCACCTCCTTTAAGTACCTGCAAAAATAATTTCTTCATTCTCATCTAAGCGTGATTCTTCTGCAGCTCACAGACCTTTGGTAACAGTGGTGATGAATTTTTCTCCCAAGAAGCCCCTAAAAAAGGCACTAACTTTTGTATAAGCAAATAGTTGAACAAAGTAGTACATGGAAGAATATATAAACATTAAAAAAAAATATTTTACCTACAGAAATATACTTTCAACTGTCTTCATTTCTCATGCTATTATTAAAAATATTTCTGCTTGGAGAGAACCTTTGTGTTTCCATGCTGACTTCGTTGCTGCTCCTGTGAACTTTTAGATTCTGTGTTTGGCTGCACTTTTGTTTTTCTTGGAACTCAGTGCCTTGTAGCATACTGTTAGCTGAAGGCTGTGATGTAGAAATTTATTATTAAAAATAAAAGAGAGAGCAAGGGAAGAATTTATTCCATAAGGATGAAAAAGACTTAGTGTCGAGAAGCTAGGATTTTCAAAGTGCTTTAGATAACAGATTGGGTTTCTTTTCAAAGCAGCATAGGTTGTGTGCCAGGAATAAAATTAAGGGTCTTTATTTTGCCTCCCTGGGCTTGTGAGAGCTGAAAGATACCGAAGGAGGAAGGATACATGTTTCAGGGCTTTCTTCGTCGGGTGTAAAGATTTTGCTTGCCATGTAGAGGCATCACCTTGGTAACCTGTGTATCCCCAGGCAAGATGCTTATTAAGGTGTCATTCCCAGAGGAGTAATCGCAGTTAAATAGCTAAGATGTTTTTATTTTTATAGATGGTGAGAGACATTTTTTCTTCCTGTATAAAGTAGACATACACTGTGATCAACTAGAATATGTTTTCATTTTCTATATTTTTATTCATTTTTCCCATATTAATCTCTCTGCATTTTATTTCTAGCATCTTTACATGCCTAATCTTAAAATCATAAGTGTTCTTCTTCCAAAAGGAATATCATGGCATACGTAATAAACTTTCTGACTCTTTTCCCAAAATTGCTTAGGTATCATGCTGTTATTCATTTATCTTGAAGTTTTAGTCCACATGGATTAAATTGCAAAAGGAAAAATAATTCCACAGATTCTACTTCTGTTTCTCATTATCCCTCATCCATTAATGTCTTTTATCTAATTCCATGATCTAGTCAAAAGGCTGTGTTGGTCATCTGCAATTTAACACTAATCCTATGCCTTTGACTGGAAAGATGTTTCCACTTTTGCAGTGATATAACTTCAGTTTGCACTTAGTCCTGAAACTGGTTGACCTCACTGTGTGTGCTAACTTTACTGCTCACTGTAATTGATTAATATTTTTCGTGTGCTGTAGTTACTAATCAAATAGTGCAGATAGGGAATCATCTATGTAGCATTTTGTAAACAGTCCCATGGTTCTGCTCACACAAGAATACTTACACTGACCAAATGCTCAGTTCAAACAGTCTACAATACGAAGTCACTTTTTCACATTATGGATGGGAATAACTCTCTTAGACGTAACCTCTCAGAAGTCAAATTTAGACTGTGTGTGTGTGTGTGTGTGTGTGTGTGTTTGCTTTCTTGTTTATTTGTTTTGTGGTAGTGGGGATTGAACCGAAGGGTGCTCTATCCCTGAGCCACATCTCAAGCCCAGTTTTATTTTTTAATCATTTTGAGACAGGGTCTCCTTAACTTGTCAAGTTTCCTGGGCTGTGCTAGAACTTGGGGTCCTCTTGCCTCAGCCTCCTGGGGGTGGTGTGCGTGTGTGTGTGTGTGTGTGTGTGTGTGTGTGTGTTACCATACTCAGCTAAAAATTACCATCTTTAAGATATTTAGTGATAGAGTGCACAGAGCATATTACATGCTTTTCTTATTTAGTTCTAGTTCTAGAAAAACATTGCCTTCTTGACCATGTCATCAGCAAACACTTCCTCTTAATATATTGTGGATTACAATTTATGTTGTGAAATGTATTTATCTCTTTATACTGTGATACCCATACACCATATAATTTACCAAAGTATTCTGATCCTGATAGTTCAAACTCATTAGTGAGGATACTAGTAATCATAGTCAACTTTTGTCTTCTTTCCAGAAGATTCTTATAAATCATTTCACTAACAGTGCAGCTCTTATTATCCCTTTAAAGTTTTCCCAAATAACCATCTAGTCATTAATATTAGATATTCACAAGGCCTCAATAAGCCAAATGATTGAAATGTGTCAAAAATTGCTATGATAGTGCTAGTGAACAGATGACTAAAAGTATTTAATTTTTTCCAAGTGATTTTTATTGTGTATATTTAAAGTGTACATGATGATGCTTGAGTAAAATATGGTGAAATAATTACTGCAATGAAGTAAGTGAACATAGCCATTGTCTCAGTTACCTTTCTTTGTTTTTGTTGTTGTAATAAGAGTATCTAACATTTATTCTCTTAGCACGTTTCCAGTGTATGTTAAAATATTATTATTGCTCCCATGCTGTGTATTAGAACCCTAGACTTACTCACCTGATGTAACAGATTATTACATTATTTCACATCAAGTTTATTTTTGTTTATTTCATATTCTTAAAACTCTTTTGAAATTGTAAATTTTTAGCTTTTGAAACTGTAAATTTGTTTTGAAAAAACTGAACACTTAATCATTTTATAGAATTTAATGTTTTTAATGAGTAGCATTGTGTGTTCACCAATAAAGGTTTTCTATTTATATAAATGATTGTCAAACATGTCTCGATAATGTTCAAAGTATATTATCTTTTTCTTGCTTGTTTATTATATCTGCTAAGAAGTCATTGCATACATAAAAGCATATATATATATATATATATAAATAAATACATTTATAGTCCATCTTGTTAGTGCTGCAACTTGTAAATTGTAAACAGTTCATCAGGTGATTCTGGTGAATAGTGAGAATGCGGGAGAGATAATGAACTTTTATTCTTCTCAGTTGATATCTTTTATTTCTTTAATATTTTTCTTGTAAATGTTTTTGTCAATAAGTAAATATCCTGGTTTCTAAGCAGAGTGGCTCAGAGGTATTACAACTATGAGAATAACTTGATATTTTATATTATTTGTTATGAAAAATTTAAATTTATGACTTTAGGGGCATATTTCACATTAAATACTTTTACTCTTTAAAACTCTCATGTTTTGTGACATTATCAAAACAGATTTGAAGATTATTGAAATACTTTGGCCTTCTGGTTCTTATTTATGACAGGGTAGATTACATTATTAGATTAATCAGCCTATTTTCCTAATAAACTAAAAGCTTACTGAGATGTAAATAAGGCTTTACAGAATGTGACATCTATCTAGAATGTTCCTGATAAAGAACAGAAAAGCTAGAAATTAACAGGTTCTTACTATCATATACTGTTATTAAAATATCTTCAAAATAACTGGAGGTTTAAATAATATCAAACCAAAAGATTATTTCTTCAGATATGTCGATTTATTCAAAGTTGCTATTTAATAATTTACAGTAAGAATACATTCCAACAGCCTACTTGTTCTATAAAGAATAACATCTTATAGCTAAAATTTGGAAACAGCCCAAATGCCCATCAACTGGAGACTGGATAAAGAAAATGTGGTTTTTTATAAAATGGAGTACTACTCAGCCATAAAAAATGAGAAATTAGAGACATTTATAGCTAAATGGATGCACATTGAGGCCATACTCTTAAGTGAAATAAATAGGACACACATGTATAAATACCAAATAGTTTCTCTGGTGTGAGAAACTGAACGTGTAAATAAGGACTAAAATGTAGAATAGATAATGTGAAATAGGAATAAAAGGGGCAAAGGGGAAGGCAGTGGGAGGGGTAGGGGAAAGGAAAGAAAATGGAATTAATATGAGAAAATGGAAAAATAGGAACAAAATCTTTGTAAATAGAGAGGAATGGAGGGGTTGAAGGGAGGGCTGGGCAAGGGTGAAAAATAAGAAACGAGAGATTATGGAAAGGTGCAAATTTCCAATGATGAATGTCATTATATTGTATACCTAAATTGTACCAAGGATTAGAATGAATAATTGATAATGCAAAATAGGAAGAAAAGGTCCAAAGGGGTAGGGTAGTGGGAGGGGCAGGGGAAAGGAAAGAAGGGAAAGGAAAAATGCTGAGAAATGGAAAAAATGGAAATAAAGTCTTTGTAAATAGGGAAGGGTGGAGGGGGTGAAGGGAGGGATAGGAATGAGGAAAAAATAAGAACCAAGATGCATCATGTAAAGGTACAAGTTCCCAATGAGAAATGTAATTGTGTTGTATACCTAAAATGTACCAATAAAAGAATTTAAGAAAAAAAAAGAATAACATCTTTGTTGTGTAAAATAATTATGTAACTTACCAAATTATCACATTACCTTCATAGCTCATGGGACATTCAGAATGGGACCACAAGCGTGGACCTCGAGGATCACAGGTAAGTTTTGTCTTCCTTTCCTTCTTTACATTTTGTTTGTTAATGCTTTGAGCCAGGGCTTTTCTGAAACTCAAGAAATAATAATAAGTACAGGAAGGAAGAGACAAAATAATCATGCCATTTGTTTTTATTTAAGTTAGCTGTAATTAAAGTCTGGATTTCAAAACCCAAAGACAATGAAATATATCTTCTTAGGAGCTTTCTGGTATTTCAGATTGCTTGTGTTTATATGAATGTAGATTTCATATTCATCTTGTTTCTGCAGAAAACATTTGATCAGCAACCCACTCTTGATTTTCTTCACTTCCTTTGATAATTTTTCTATGTATTTTCTTTCCCCACCCCCCAATCTTCCTGCTTTTGGTTAAATATTTTGAAATATAATCAGCGTGAACTGAACTAATTAGCTGTCTCTAAATTAGCTGTCTTCATCTATGGGAAGTAGAAAGATGAAAGGACCTATTACTTTTGAAAAGAAACAAATTCTAAACCTTTCTATATTACCAGACTGTTTTCATTGTCTTACTTTATGTCTTAGGCGAAGAGAAAAGCTTCCATGACGCATTTATGCTTTTTAATGACCTAATTAGACAATGTGGATTTGTTTTGCTTTCATAATTACTTTGCCTGACAGAATAAAGGCTGAGTTTTACACTAAGAAAATTATCTGTCCTCCTCGGGTATTTTGTAAAGGAATAAGAGAGTAATTTTTCTCATAGTCTATGTTTACCTGACTATAAACATACCAAATAAAAATTAAGTGGGTGGGACTTTTTACTTCTACTGTTCACATTTTGCATTTACCACTAAAAAAATACTATGAAAAGAAAAAAAAAGAGTATAGAGTTTAATGAAAGTAAGGTCATTGTAAACATTGAATTTCTCAAAAGTGTATTTTATAAAACTATGTACCTATGTTGTCATAACTGTGTGGATCACTGTATTTAATTTAGGTCTCTGGGAAGGTAAAACCAAGTCCTTCAATTGTTTTAGTTAACCTTTTAATAACCATGATTTTAATTTTGTCCACTGTCAGTTTGATTAAGACTGTCCAAAAGAATGTATTCTTTGCTTTCTGGCTTTCACTATCACCTTCCCTATATCAGTTTCTCTAACATCATTTTTGCCCCTTCTATACACATCTATGATATCTGAAATCAGCATTTTCTGAGTCGTTGGTCATGAAGTGGTGAAATTAATGTAAACTTCTTGTGATTCTAAAGCAATAACCCTGTAAAAATGAGTGTAAGTAAGGAAGTGCATGGTTTCTTCTTTTTTAAAAATTCATTAAGTTTATTAGTACATTTTAGGTATACATTATGATCTCATTTATTATTGGGAATATGTACCTATAATGATATATCTTGGTTCTTATTTTTCCCATTCCCCTTTCCTCCCTTAAACCCCTCCACATCTCTCAATTTACATAAACTTTGTTTCCCATCTTTTTCTTTCCCCTCTTTCCTTTCCTCTACACCCCCCCCCCCCAATTCCCCTTCCCTTTTGAACATTTTCTTCCTATTTCACAACATCTATTATGCATTTTGGTCTTCATTTACATTTTCAGTTTCTCATACCAGAGAAACAATTCGGTATTTATACATGTGTGTCCAATTTATTTCACTTAAGAGTATGACCTCAAGGTGCATCCATTTAGCTATAAATATCTCTAGTTTGTCCTTTATGGCTGAGTAGTACTCCATTTTATTAAAAAAAAAAAATAACCACATCTTTATCCAATCACCAGTTGATGGGCATTTGGGCTGTTTCCAAGATTTAACTACTACAAACTGTGCCAATATAAATATGGGTCTGCATATATTGCTGTGGTATGATGTTTTTAATTCTTTTGTGAACATACCCAGAAATGGAATAGCCAGGTCAAATGGAACCTTTAATCCTAGTTGTTTGAGGAATCTCTACACTGATTTCCATGGTGGTTGTCCATGGTTTCTGATTACTATCACCAAAGATATTTTGATATTTGAGTCAGGTTTTCAAACTTGTGGTTCTCCTGCCTCAGCCTCCCAGAGTACTGAGGATACAAGTGTGAGCAACCATATCTAGTTAAATTTTTATTGTTAGAGTTAACTTTAAATATAAAAACCCACAATGGAAATTTTAAATATTATAAATATAATACATAACCAGAAAAATTTAGAAGTACACAGGAAAAATATTTTTTATGAGGTTCGCTTATATTGGAAAGCCTCAGATAGTTATGAAAATGAAAGAAATTAGAAAATGTTCACTTGAAATATCATTATGAGCATTTAAACCAGTAGTAGCAAACTTTTAGAGACCAGTGCACAAACTGCAACCCCAAACCCACTTATTTATTGCAAAGTGCCAGTGCTGCAATGAAACCTGAATACTGAGGTTTTAGTTTACAAAAGAACAACCCGTACATTAACATCTTTGTCTTACAAAAAAAATAGCGTGCGTACACCACAGGTTCACCACCACTGACCTTGGACCTTCTTGGATCTCTCAAATTGCAGAATAGAAGAGCTGTGTGTACCACACATTGGTCCCATTTTGATTCATTAGAATGGATTAAGATGTCAAAGTAAAAAGCAAAAACACATCAAAAACTAAAAATTATAACTACAACAAAAATGTGACTCTTTGGAAATTTAAGATAGATAAGTTAAGCATGAGGTAATAACTTTTTATCTAATTCTAGTTCCTCACTGGAAAGGAAAAAAGGGCACTGTATTTGTTTTAGATGACTGATCCCATTGTATCTTGCTTTTTTCTTTTTATAACATGCCTAAAACCTTTCAGAAAGAATTTTAGACTGGCTGCATTTGAGAAGATTCTTCTTAATATTTTACCAGTACTCCAAAGACTGTGCTCAAATCCCAACTCAGTTTAATTTAGGGTGAATTTTTAAAGGCCTACTACGTGTATAACATCATTGTGGTTCTAACTTGGAAGAAAAAGTGAATGACGAAGTTACTGCTTTCCAAGAGCTCACAAATTATTGTTTAAAAAATATCAACGCTTTTAAATATAAGTACAGTATAGTTTACATGTTAGGCAGGCTGGTAGATGCAATATTAAATACATAAACCAAGTATGATGGGAATTAGGTGAAAGGAAGCAGTTATTTCTCCCCAGCAGAACTAAGAAATACTTCCTACAAATGATGTGCTCAGAGATGAGCCTGCAAGGATGTGCAAAGAGAGGAAAAGAGGAATGAAAGAGCTTGACTAAAATTCTGAACTGGGAAGAGTGTAGGGCATTTCTGGAGTGTGTGGATTTTCTTTATAACTTCCTTTTGAACATGTATGGGATGGGAACTGTACAGAAATGACTCTGCATGGATGATCTGAGAAAGCCCTGCAGTATGAAGGAGACACCGCAGGAGGAAGAAGTGAAGAGACTCGAGATTTGAAACTGAACACAGAAAGAATTAGTGCTCTTGCCCCTGGGCACTTTCAAGTTCATTGTTAGCAGTGTTAAATGTGAAGTGAGGAGGACAGGTCCAAAGAGGAGGTCCAGATGTGTATTTGACGGACCATTCTAGTGCATCATAAAGGAGAAAATGCTGATTTCATAATGCTAATTATATATATGGCAATTTATACCACCAAACAGTAAGAGAGAAGAAAGGTGGATTCCTGGGGAAACTCACTGTTAGGGCTGACAGTAAGCTGGGGAGGGAAGTGGCACAGTACATGGTCTCACTAGGAACCAGCGGGGAAAAATGATTCTGAATCAAAGGAAAGGAACTATCCAGTTACACAGAGAGGAGGACTGAGACTGCAGCCCCCCCAAATTTAGACACCCATCAGCTCAGTGGTCGGGACACTAGTAAACTGTAGTTTTGATAAAGAAATAACGAGGGAAAACAGAATACAGGTATTAACAAATTAGCATGAATACTACAGGGGACTCTGGGAGGACCTTTGTTTTATTTTTAAAGAAAAATTTATTTTATTGGTACATTTACAGTATATAATGATTGCACTCCTTGTGGGGAGTTGGTACATGTACATGAGATATCTTATTTCTTTCTTCATCCCTTTCCCCACTTCCATCACTTGGTCCTCTTCCTTTATGAAAACAGATGTATTTCCCTGTTTTCTTTTGTCTTCATTTTGCTTTATAATTTATTTATTTATTTGGGGAGTTTCTCATAGAGGAGGCATCACGTCATAGTTAAGCCTGTGTGTCACATTGGTTTTAAAAAGCAGGTGGAGCCAGGCACGGTGGTACATGCCTGTAATCCTAGCACTGAGGCACTAGGATCTAAGTGAGTTTCAGATCCACTTTGGCTACATAGTGAGTTCGAGACTGGCCAGGATGACATAGTGAGACCCTGTCTCTAAAACATATAGATATATATGTATCTATATATATACAAAAGAGAGGTAAGATTGTAGAAAGAGGTGGCAGCAGAAGTAAGGGAAATTTCCTTTTTATGCTGAGGTAAAGTGTGAATTTTAATAATTACTGACAGATGAAAAGGATAAATATGGAAACAATATGTTGAAAATTTTCAATAGTGAGCTGGTTAAGGACTGAGAAAACAGTGCAGTTTAGGGAAGGGTCAACACTCCCTAAGTGGTATCCTGGACACCTACACATAGTGTTTCCCTTACACACAACAAACCCCCACTTCCTCTACACCCCAACAATTTATACTACTTCAGAAAGGCAGGCCGTATTCTCAAGTGAACTACTTCCTGGATAAACCACCAGCAAGAACTAGTGAAAGATATTTGGAAAGATAGTGGAGACATCCATCTATTACTAAATAACATTAAAAAATGAAAACACATACCATGAATCTAATGACTTCAGTTTTCTTGATAGAGATTTGAGATTATAATACTGGGAAATCTTGAATGGTACAAAGCTCAGAAATAGATGTTGTTTTACATATCTAAAAGGGAGATGTTGGAGCATCAAAAAATAGTAGAAAACATAGAAGTGTCTCAGATGTTTGTTAGCCTGGACTCAAATTTTGGCATATTTTACTTTGATTGAAA